TGGAGTCAGAGGAGAAAAGCAAACACCAAATAGTATCTTTTACATATGGAATAAAGAAAAACAAATCAAAGATCAGATGAAGTGGTGGGTGTGGTGTGGTGATGTGCTTCTGAGAAGGTGTGATCCTGTACCTCTGGATTACATAACATTGGAAACCAATGTTACCTCAATTTAAAAGAGAAATAGAAGAATTGTGAATTTCATTAACTAGCAGGATGATAGCCTCGCCAAGCTGACACATCAGAAAGTTATCACAATTCTGGATCATCAAGTAAAAATTTGGCATGAATTTTAATGTAAATTTTATTGAGATCTTTTGTGAAAGCTAGTATACTTTGTATTTGTGGAGGCTTATTGTGTATCTGTATGAAGTAGAGACACAATTAGTTCTTCACTTCTTAAGTTTGTTCCATTTTGTAAACAATGATAGAAGTGAGGTTCTGCCTCTTAGTAATACTTAGGCTTGGAAGCAAAATGTAAACACTCATCCATAGGCCACCACTATGGCCATGATATAATTTCTTTGCTTTTCCACGAATAAGAACATTTTCCTGAGAGCCATTCTACCTGACAAGGAATTGGGGAACAATGGGCAGCATTAGGTAAGAATGTGGATAACTTTCTTAATCCTGAGGTGGAAGAAAATCTCATGTTGTTCTTACTCCACTTTAAATTTATACTCTTAGTTGCATAGAGATTCAGAGTAGGAAGACACTTCAGAGAAGTCTCTTGTCTCCCTTTCCTATTGGAAAACAAGAGTTAAGTTTTTGTGACAGTATTACCACAACAAATCAATTAGTTAATGAGTAGATAAGTGATTTTATATGAAACCTGGTTTTTTTTTTTTCCCTAGCACCTCATTTGAATCTTATCTGTCCAATTCAGTGATCCTCAAACTTTCCATCCTACCTCAACAAATTAAAGAGAGGTAATGTTACAGGGCAGGGAGAGGAGCACCCCAGAGCCCCCAAACCTGCCTGCTCTAAATAGGTTCTTATATGCCACATCAAGACAAAACATATAAGACCTTTAATGGAAATGAACTTTAATACAATAAATAAAGAATACAGAAAAGGCTGAATCAAACACACAAAGTTACCCATCTCCTTGTGGGTAAAATCCCACCCAACCGGGATTGATTGGTCCAAAGCAAGGCCCAAATGCCTGTCACAAGTCTAAAGCACCTTTTGGTGGTAACCCATAGAAAAGGGTCAGAAATGGCCAGAAAAATCTGGGAAGAAAAGGGCAAAATCAAAATCAACACTGCCATTGTCACCTCCCCACGGGGCTCTCACCCTCATCTGTTTCACTCTGTCCAGGGCCAAGAAGCAAGTGCAGCTTTTTCACATATCTCCCTGCTCCATGTGCCTCCTCCAAGTCTCCATCCTGCTTCTTTCTCCAGTCTCCTCTTTCTCTAGCTTTCTTTTCCTTCCTGCTCAGGTCGACCCTCCTGTTCCTGGAGACCACCCTATTACAGTAATGCATTCATATCAGTGTGAGAGAGGTAAAGCCAACTGTTTTACAATAGTCATTATAAATGGAATCAAGGAAATCATAACCCCACCACCACACACACACACACACACACACACACACACTTGTGCACACTCTCTCTTTCAGTAGGGAGCATATTAAAATCTTCAGTGTAGCTGAGAGGTAAGAACATGAAGTTTAAGCTTCCAGGTAACACTGATAAACTAAAATTAAGAATCAAAACCCCAGGCAAAAATGTTTTATTGTTATGTATTCCTACCCTCTTCCATTGATACATCTTTTGCATGTTCTATTTTTGTGTAGAAGACATCTAGTAGTCATCCTGTCTGTATTGTCATCCAACTCATGACTTACTTCTATCACACTTCATGTGCTTGGTCATGCAAAACTATTACCTAAATGTTTGTTACTATAGTCTCTGACTGTTGTTTCCGTGAATTTTGGCCTTTTTATTATCAGGACTATTATTATCAGGTCTACCTTTACAGCAAGCTAAAACTTACAACTCCTAATTACTCATCTCACTAGGAAGCTACATTTTTCTCCAAATATTACTCTTTTGTAGGGTAAAAATCCCCAGTTCTTTCAGCTTTGCTGATGGTTTCAGTATCACTATTCTGTTCTCTTCTTTCTGAATCATTCCTTGCTATGTTCCTAAAGTTGATGAGTAAAACTGAACTCATGAAGTGTTTGTGGGTCTTTTCCTGCCTTCCTGCTTGCTACTCCTGGATGCTGCTATAACGTTCTAACTTTCATAGCTGTTCTGAAGGTCCTGCTTCTCTGTTAATCTATCTTCCACATGGTTGCCAAAGAAGTTTTTAAATATATATGGCCATTTTTCTTCCCTGTTGAAGGTATTTCATTCCTTGCTATTGCTTTCAAAATAAAATTTAAGGTCTCTTAGCAAGCTGTTAGGTCCCTACATGATCGTGCTCTAGCAAACTCTTCCAATTGCATCTTGCACCACAGTACGCATCATTCAGTTACTTAAGCTCCTTTGACATCCTTTCTTTCCTATCTGCTTGGCAAGTTCCTTCCCATTTAAGACTCTGCCCCAGTTTCTTTGCTCAGGAGCATTCCTTACTCCTTACAAAGGTGCTATTCACCTCCTCCCTCCTCGGGCTGCTGGCTCCACATACCTTGGTACTCAAGTACCAGAAGAGAACCCCACCCATGATGGACTATTCAAAAAATGCAGAATGTATGAAAAACATGTGTCAGACTGGAGTCAAAAAGTACACCTCATAGTTTCACTAATAGCACTTTTATCCTGAGACTGTTTTATTGTGGAGGAAGGAGGCCAGTGAAAATACATTTCATTGTCAACTCATCTTGAACATAAATGATCAGATGATGGCTATTTATTAAGGTAGAACCTGCAGGATATTCTGTTGGGACAGATATGGGATATGAATGAAGCCAAGGAGTCAAGGATGATGCCAAGGTTTTTAATCTGAGCACAGCTGAAATGGAAAAAACAGAGAATAGGGGTGTATATGTGTGTAGGTGGGGAGGTATCAGAAGTTAATTTGGAACATGATTATTTAAGATACAAAAGATCCTTAGTTCATAGTAACTCAGTTTCCTCACTCTTAGGAAGGGCTAATAATTCCTCATGTATTAATTGTGAGACTTGAGGAATTAATGTACACAGCTCAGAACAAACCAGTAAAGTGGATTGGAAGAAATATATGTCTAAATATGTATCTTTCTATGAATAATCATTAGATCACATCCTTTTGATAATCATTTTATCAAATCCTTTGGGCATTTATTTAAAAGCCAAAACATACTTCATAAATATTTTCCTGGTAGAATTTTATATTGAATTCAAATAGGTTTTCTTTGGTCTGGGGAGACATTCCATAATATAGTTGGAAATTAAGGTATAGATTCAGAGTATCTGAAATATTTATGTCTTTGTAGATATACAGCCATCTGAGCATTAAAGAAAAGCACCTGTCATTCACTCATAAACAATTTTGAGACTGTTAGAATCTTCAACACCAAACCTTGTCTCTACCATAAGTAGGACAGAATACTAGATTCTGAAAAGGTAGAAATTATAATGTTGCTATCATCTCAGAATTATTGTGAACACCTACAGGATTTAACAGTGTAAGCTTAGCAGAAGAAATGCACAGCTATCATTACGATATGAAAGCCCACAAGATTCTTCACAGTGATATGGAGATGCAGGGCAGCAGCAGAGTTGAATGACCAGGGCTCATTTCAGAGAAACTCGAATGCTTGCTTTGGGTAGTATTCAGGAATGTTCTTCAGACTGCAAATACCCCCTGAACGGGCAGATTTTGAAATGTTTTCAGTCTATTTGCTTGATTTTATTATTATAAAAACTTTTTTTTAAAGATTTATTTATTCATACAGAACTGGGGTACAGGCCAGAGATGCAGAGGGTGAGAGGATTCACCAGAGGCAGAGTGGGGTACAGAACAGGCAGATGTACGAAGTACACTGCTGAGGGGAGCAGCGGGAGGGTCAGGAGAGGTCTCTGCGCCATGTGGATCTCCTCCGGGGCAGGCGGGGATTGAACTCATGAGCAAGTGGCTTAAGCTTTTTTGTGCTGTGCTTTAACCCACTGCGCCACCAGGGAGGGCCCTATAAAAACTTTTTTTCATCAGTAAATTATCTTCTGAAGAGTGAATAATATACAATTAAGCTTAATTTTCTATACTTGTTCAACAAATTTTATTGGAAGTCTTAAAATTATGAGATCCTTTCTATAAATATGTAGTTATATATTCATTCATTGACATGTGACTGTGTATTGGACATTTCTTTAACACCTCAAGCCTTCCATGCTATTTCATACAATCATTTGAAACCTGTTTATGCACGACTATGTTTTCTGCTCTAGAATAAGTTTGAGAAAAGGCAGGATTCATATCTGTTCGATCTTAGTCACTATAAGGTAAAAGACCCAATGATATAACTTCATTGTGTTCCCTGAATCAATTTACACAGAAAGATTTCATTGTTGCTTTATAGAATATTCTTGGTGGGTTGCAAATAAAGGTATTAACCCTAGAAGCACATGAGTTAAGTCCTTTCCATGTCTTAACTTTGTTAACAGAACAACAGTCCTTCAAGCTATAGATGTTGCATTGTACAACAGGACACCATAAAACAGAGGTATTAAGAACTTTTGTCCAAGGTCACAAAGATTATAAGGTACATTTGGGTTTCACAAGCACACTGTAGAGTCTTGTTCTCAGGTCTTGTGCCAAACTGCACAAGATAGGTTAGGTTAGGGAATATGTGGTAGAGAAAATTTAAGTAACTGGCTTCTTGTTTCATGACTGAATACATTATATTGATAAATTAATTATATATATGATATGTTATTTGTTTAACCCCACAGCTTTGAATTATTTTTTTTTCATAATATACTGAAATATATTGCAAATGTATTGTTAAGCATTCATTGGCAGAATTTAAAGTGATTATAGTAAGTACTAATTATATTTTATTTTTCTTCTTCCTAGTTTCATGGTTTTCTCCAAATGAAAATATCCTCACTGTTATTTTTCCAATTTTGGCTATACTGTTGTCCTGGGGACAATTTGGTATTGTGAGTAAGTATCTGTATTTTCATTTATGATTTAGCTTTGAAACTGTAATTTCAAGGAGGCAGTATTAGTGAAATATTTTATTTAAGTTGAATTGGGAAGTATGATAATGTGATAAATAAGAATATACTATCTTCTGATTCTCCTTGAAATATATTACTATCTCCCATAATTTATGAAATGAACTTTTTTAAATTCTGAATAAGGTATACTAATAACAAAATTTCAAAGTTTTCAAAACTTTTACACTATTATCTTGAAAAAGAAACCATCATAGACTAGCTAGTGTTAAGATAGAATGTTGTACTTTTGAGCATTAAGATTTCCCTCTCTTTATCTTTCCAGTTTGAGCGCCTCTGTATATATGTGTTCATTTATGGGAAAGCCCAGTTTGAAACACATCTTGTCATCTTTACTGTGCTATTATATAATTTCTAAGGAGGTAGCTATGGGACAGTTGTGTTCTTCCAGCATGCTCTGCTGAAATAATCATGGGTTGAAACTGCTCAGGTCAAATCTTGGTACCTATCAGTTTAGCATCATTAATATTGAGGGGGTGTGGGGAGGGATTGAGGGTGTATGAAGGATGTTGGAGGGGAGAAAAAGAACTCTTGTCATTATGTCTGTTTTGTAGTTTTGACAATATGTATTATTCTGTAAGCAAAAAGCATTCAATTAATGTATTTTTAATTGGGAAAAATTAAAAACACACACACACACACTGAAAAGCCTTAACTGAAGCAAGCTGCATAGAGATATTTTAGCAATATTATGCTAAACTTTAGACTTTCTGTTTTACAACATAAAATATTCCAGCCCATACCACCAGTTACCTTTTAGTCTTGGTTGTTTAAGTATTTATCCCAATGGAAAAGAGTCATTATTTTCATTTTTCCTTTAACAAGAGAAAATTAAAGCTGCAAAAGCTATCAGCTTAGCTTCAGCTAACATTGGTTAACTTTTATAAGAACTCCAAGTTTTTCAGTTACAAACTATTAAAACTACTGGAGTTATAATTTAAGAAGATAAATGTAGAATTATCACTAATAGGTAGTGATAATACACTTTCTGGTTTATGTTTATAACCAATGATATAAACACACATACACTTCTGGTTTATGTTTACAACCAATGATATTTCCATATCAATTTGATGAAGGAAATTTGCTAGTAAAGTTCCGAGATGATAATCTAAACTTTTAAAATGTAACATTTGATTCTCTTTTCATGTAGTCCACTGAAACAGTCACTGAAGGTCATTTATTCAAGGCACACAGTAGACAGTGCTGATTTCATTTATTATTTTTATTTTGTAACTTTAAAAATGTGAAATCAAGTAAAATTTTGTAGTGGACTGGCCTACTGCATAGTTCATAAATTTTACTTTTACTTAGTAGTTTAAGTCAGATATATCTAAAATGTTGTAAAAATGGGAGGAAATGACTGGTTATATATTTTATGGGCTCTTCTCTCTCTAGAAATCTTTTGTGATTTTAAAGCTGTTTTCAACTTTATGTGAAAGGCAAAAAAGGAAGTAAAGGCTAACCAAGACAACTGTCATGACAAGTCACAGCTCCTTCCAAACAGTTTCTAGACTTCTTATGGAAATTCTTTTTAAATTTCAGTCAACCTTTAATATCAAGAAAAAGACTGGTATAGCAGCAAGACCTAGTCTGTCTTCACTGTTAGAGAAATCTTGAACCTGATTGGCAGATGTAAACCTTCAGGCTTATATCACGATTTGAGTAGGGAGTAGCTTTTTCTTTTATGCTCTTGGAATGTTTCACAGCAGTGTCATTTATTGCATTGAGCTTGACTGAAGCTTGCTGATCCCTGGCATTGTCACTACTGATACTATTTTTAGTAGACTTGAGGCAAGAGGGGCGGTAGATTTGGAAAGTCCCTGCCAAACTGATGTCGTCTTTCCTGGTCCCTCACTCTAAATCTATCATGACAGTTCATGGAATCCCGGGGTAGAATAAGCTGAAACCAACCACAACATAGAACTTATATACAACTTCAAACTGTGATCTGCTGTAGCCAGAGGTTCACTGTTTTACTACTATATCTGCCCCTTATGGGTTTTGCCTCCATTGTGTGGATATGTGACCTGTAACAGGGCATGAGCACTGACTACAGGTGTACCCCTTGAAGAGAGACCGCCCCAAAGACACAAGAAGAGGACCACGCTGATGAGAGTGACCCATATCACGTGTCTTGGGTGGGAAGTAGTGATCACTCCCTTTCCTACCAAAGACCCAAATCTGTAAAAAGCAGACAGAGACTTTGGTTGGAGAATGGCTTTTCTTCACATGGTCTCTCTGGAGTTCTGTCTCTTGCTTTTTCTCTTTCAATATACCCTGCTGCTATCGCTCCCATTCTGTGTCTTGAGTCCTCGTTGCATTTTTGAGTGCAGTCTCAAGAATTACCAGATGGCTTCGGTAACAGACTGAGCCAGGGGTGAGTCTGTTCACTATTAGTCATACTTTATAAAAGTAACACATTTTTCTTTTTCCTGACTTAAAAAAAAAGTAGTACATATCACTTTGGAATATCTTATGCAATATAGGATATTATATAGAAAACACAAAAATCATCTAGAGTCCTTCAACCTAGAAATAAAGTTGATGTATTCTAGTGAATTTTCTGTATCCCTTCTCTTTTTATTTATATTATCTTTCTTAAAAAAAAAAAGAAAGAAAAAGAAGTGAACTCATGGCTTATATGCATGTACAACCTGATTTCCCCCTATGTTTTCCAAAGACTTTTTATAGCTGCCAGTGCTCTGCTGGTGGGGATAAACTGTAATTTGCTTATGCTCATGTTGATTTGATAGATATTAAGGCTATTTCCTCTTTTTGTATACTATGTATACTATGGAAGTAACTGCTAAAATTACATAGACTAGACTAGAATGGCAAAATATTTTAAGGCTCTTACTGCAGGTTGCCAAAATGTTTTCCCTAACATTGTATCAATGATATCAGATGAGAATACCTGTCTTTCAGCCTTTCACCTCCCAGTCCTAATATCACTATCATTCTAAAACAATTTGATGGGTGAAAAAAACATCTTGTTTCAGTTTTTATCTTTGTGTTAGTTAGGTTGAATGTTCTTTTTTTATTTATTTATTGTACTGGTCACATTTTAAGGAATATGTTTATGAACTGAAAAACGGATTGAAGGCAATTTTTTATTTAGGCTCATCTTAGAACAACGGGGTGTGTGGTGTGTATTTGTGTGTGTGTTTAGATTGTTCTTCTATTAAACCCATCTAGTCTGAGCTCACATTTAAAAACTTTTATGATAATGGTAGCTAAATACTTGTAGAACTCTTGCACTGTTCGAAATACTCTACATCTGAAATCACATTTACTTTTCCCAGGAACCTCTATGGGAATAGAGGTGCTACGGTTATTATTCCCATCTTATAGGTTAAAAAGCTGAAGCACAAAGAGGCTAAATAATTTTCTCATAGCTGTCCAGCTGTTTCCTGATGGTTTGGGATTTAAACCAATGCCATTTATCATTATAGTATATACTACCTTACTGTCTTTGAATTTATATTGATTTTTTTTTTCCATGAAGAGTGAACCTGTATCCAAGTGCATACAATGAGTCGATGGAACTGTTATTAATAGAGCAGAATGTTGACCTAGTTTATTTATTCAACAAATGTCTATTGACAGGGTGCCTACTGATTACTAGGCACTGGGCTGGAGATGTGGAGTGAAATGCATATTGCCCCTGACTTTGTAGCACCCACATCTCATTTGAGAAGACATGTAAGTGTGCATGCTCTGTGCCTTCTGTCACACCTTTAGCATAGATAGAGCTAAACTACTTTTGTGTCTCTGTAAGAGGCCTCCTGTTTATGGCCTGGGGATTCCACCAAGCAAGGGAGCACTGCTGTTTTCCGCTCACTGGTTATATGTTTTAGAGTGCAGTTATTTTACAGCCCTCAAAATAGTTAATAGTAACTCAAACCCATGGTTTTCATTTTCTATATTTCCAGTTCTTAACCTTTTCAAATTACTGTTTATAGTCTCTACTTGACAATGACAGGGTCATTTCTACCTCTGCCTCTGCATCCTTTGTATATCGAAGATAATACTTAGACTTTCCCTAGGTTAACATTCTGTATTTGTACCATAGTGGTATCTTGAACAATATCTCAGGATGCGATCAGTCCTACTGGGGAAGAAGCTTGAGAGAGTTTCTTAACTCCCAGAGCCAAGCCCTCAGCCACCTTTTGAAGAAGGTATCTTACAAGATGTTCTTAAATACCTTTGCTTTTAGTTTTAGCTGATGAACTTTTCAGTAGATTCTTATCTTAACAAACAGCTCAGGGATAACCAGACTCAAACACTAAGCCTTAATAAACGTAACAAATCCCTAGTAATATTACATTTTAGGCACTTTGAAAACTAGCTGACAGTTTCCCACACCACTGACAATTTCTTGGCTGGTTTTCAAGGTCTTTTTCCTCACTCTTTAACAATATAATAGGTACTCTGCATCCATAGATATCTGATAAATTATTTCATCTTCTGCCAACTACAACCTCTGGTTCCTGTAGGACTAAGGTTTAATCCTGCATCAGGAAACGGTTAGTAGTCTGAACTTCTTGAGACAGGTTTGTCTGTTCTTACTTTTCCTTCCTTCAAACTTGTATTCCAGAAATGTCAATTCTATACTTTAAACAATAAGTCCTCACTTTACCCAGAATGGAAAGACCATAAACTTGACCACTTTAGCTGAAACTCTGCAAAGCAATCTAATAATAAATGTAAACATTTACTATTGTCCCATGACTTTTGTAATTCTTGTCAAGACATTGAAAACTCTACTATGAGCAATAACTGTATTTAAAAATTAAAGTTATAGTAAAACCAGTATTTTATCAATGTAAATTAGAACATTAAAAGCCTTGAGGTTAAAGTTTGAATAATGCCTGCCTTTCTGTTGTGTGAATCTGAATACAGAGCAAGCATGTTCTCTTGGTG